GCGGCTCGGACGACGGCGCGGAATCGTGCCGTTGCTCGCGGTCCGGAGTTGAAGACCCGACTGATGGAAACGCACGCAGGAACTCCGGCACACTCGAGGGCGCAGGCGCCTCCGCGTCTCTCTGCGATCTTCTTCCGTTACACGGAGGCTGCCCCCTCTCCCCCCACCCCCATCGAGTCCCTCCGCGTCGATCCCCGCGTTGCATCCGCGGCGCGCTGCATCCGCGCGACGCGCATCCCCGATGCCTTTCAAAGTGTCCTCTTCGACACCGCGCGTCTCGATCTCAGGCCGAGCACGCGCCACCCTCTTTCACCCCTATCTTTCCCAAAACCCCGCGCGTGGGTACCGCGTACGTGGGGCGCTCCGACAACACACATATGTCACAAAGATTGTATACACGGTTTACCGAGGTGAATAACTTGGCGCGTGCTTAAACTCGCTATCCGACGTGTCCAAGTTTCGCTTTGGATATTTACCGTCATTTTTCACCACGCGGCGGAGTAACGCTTCCGTACGCTTTGTTCACCATTTCGTTGCATTCTTGCGAAACGGATCAGCGGATTTTCATACACAGATGTGTGCGAAACACATCTGTTTGCCGAAACGGATAATGCCGCGCGCAATTTCGCTTTAGAGGCTCGCGATATCATCTTCCGGAAGCGGAATAATGCTTCATCCTTTCATTGAACTTTGGCGAGGCGAATTAATGAATTTTCTTGGGGATTACTTGAGATTGGGTGAAATTAAATTTTTTTCTCTTCCTTCCGCGCACAAACGTGTCAAACTTTCGTTGTACGCATACAAGTTTCATAGGGTATACGGACTTGCTCGTTCGCGTAAAGTAGACGAAAAAAAGAAAGTATCGTGCGGCCGGCCACTCTTTACGCCCGTGTTAGAGCTGGTCTTCTTTTCTTGGCGAAATTACCGACACTCCCGAAGATGGGTCTGTAACCTCGCAATTTTATATCGACCCGTCGCTGCCAAACGAGAACTTTTATTCGTAGCCGCCCAAGCCACCATCACAGCTCGGCCGGGCGGTCTAATTAAACGCTGGGGAGCGCAGAGTGCATTCGTAAGTTACAACTCTCGTTTTTATTTCGCTCTACGAACTGCGCGCGATGCCGGTGTATCGCAAATGTATTTGTCGGCTATGCGAATTCATTCTAAGTTTCTCCTCGCGGACAGCGCGCTGGGAATTATTGCGCGGAAAGTTCTCTACAAGGAAAGTTGTCAAGTCCTTGCGTCATTGTTATGTATCAAGCGGCAACTTTATATCGTATTTTACTTCGGCTTCCGGCGCAGGATGATATAACGTCTTGCCAATGGTCGTGCTACTTCCCTCGGTTGCAGGGGATGTGCGCAGTTTTATCTTTTTTATTTCGATGAAGCGCGCGCGCGCGCGCGCACGTCTTTTGTGAAAAGAATATCCCCCCCCCCTCTCCGCCCCCTTCGACATGTCGCATTCGTATCTTATTTTGCCCGCATCGCCTCTTCGTACGAGTCGAAGACCGCCAAAAGCTTTTC